TGTCCCAGCTGCAAACGAGCAGTGGAGTCCGGGCCTTTGTGAACAGCTCTATGGTTTGAACCTAATACATGACTAATGTGCCTGTTCAAAGGTATTCGGCGGGAATCACTGAACCGCTGTTGAAGCTGCAAACTCACCACAAAGAGCTTATCAAGCACCAGTCTGATGCAATTGCGGACAGCCCGAACAGGCTTGGGCTCGAGCGCACACGGTTTGCCATGCAGCACTTATTTTTCGAAGCGGCCTGCAGGACGCAGAAGGACCGGCTGGTCCACCTTTTCATTGAGATGACAAAGCAGGATTTAGCAATGAACCTGTTTGTTGTCAGGGCCAAGTCACTTCCTCAGGCAATGAATCTCATCCACAGTGAATGAATAAGTGCAGATTATTTGCGCTGGAAATTAGAAGCGCTACTGTCTGAGGACTTGGAAGCCTCCTGTTAGTGAGGAGGAGCGCAAGGCAAAAGAGCAGCAAAAGAAAGACAAAGCTGCAACGAAGAAAAGCAAAGGGAAGAAAGAAAAAAAAGAAAAGAAAACCAAAACAAAAAAGGGTTCAACCAAGAAGGGTCAGGAAGTCAAGAAGGAAGCCTCGGAAAGCTCTGCAGCATCAAACGACTTGGAGTCTGAAGAGCCCGATTCCGTCGAGGAACCGTTCCTTGTCTATGAGCTACACATGCATGAATGCATGAACCATGCATGCAACCTTGTGCGCCATGTGCTAAGAACCACGTGTGTGAGTTCTTGGGGGCTCATTTGTCAAGGCCTAAGAAAAAGGCAAAAAAGTGAGCGGGATGGCCTACCCCACCGTACAGACTAGTTTTGGACCACGTGTGACCACGTGCATGGCTTTGCCAGCGATGTCTAAAAAGGTCTACCATATGCTTTTCGGAAGAAGCTTGCTGATCCCCTGTGACACTGGCATGTGGTGGTGCAGTTCTTGGCTGAGTAACTATGCATATTAGCTAGTGAGAAATAGTGTGAATGTCAATGTTCGGAGGCCTTTTCGACGATGAAGGTGCGGGATATATTAGTTTGTCTGTCCATGTAACATGTGTGATATTGTGTGATAATGTTTGCTGCTGTGGTGGCCTTGTTGGCAGGTCGAAGGAAGCAATCACGATCCAGCACCCGCAAACGCAAACGAACACACGAGGAATTTCGACCCTTTGCATGCATGAAGCCTGTGAGTTTGGCAAGTTGTGTTTGTTGGAATGCTAACCATGACTGGTCAGGAATAGACCTCAATGATGTCACCAGGCGAGGTGACAAAGATCATGATCTGGATATCGTCCTGCTCGATGCGATGATTGAAGGGTTTGACACAGGAGTTTCTTGGTTGTTTTATGAGGCACTGCTGTAAACATGTTTCTGTTGCAAACTCCTCCCAAGCCGAGGCTGACTCGGCAAGGCATGTTGTATCCATGGGCCAGCTCTTTGACCAAATGCGAATGCCAGGTGGAGGTCGCTTGCTTAAACCTGATGTTGAGTTGTATGTTTGGGTCAACCCCTATAGTAAAGAGTGCTGTCTGATCTGCCTTGCGAAGGCAAAAGTCATTTGCTTGCACGAATGAAATCGTGGACCAACAAACACCATTGGGCCAGAAATCTGCACCGTTTGATCTTTAGATTCGGCATGACCCTCAATGTGCTTATCAGCGTCTTTGAAGTTCCGGCCACCTTCAGAGGAAAGCTGGTCAACACACCATGGCCATGTCTATTGTTCTCAAGCTGGGCAGAGACCATCTTCAGCAAAACTGAAGGACAACCGTTGTTGAATGGCCATACTTTGGCCAATGAAGCAGCCTGGCGTGGAGACCTGCGCCGGTTCTGGAAGCAATATCGGGAAGGATTTTCTCATCCAGTTTTTCGAGACAAAGCGGCTTCTTTGGAAACCTGTATACCGTGCTGTTTGCATGGTGATGAAGGGAGAGGAAAGCATCGGCGTGCAGTCATGGTAACGTCCATACAGCCGTTGTTACAGGGAACAGGACACTCTTTCACCAGCCGCTATCTATTCACAGTTGTTCCATCTGAATCCTATGCCGATGACGCTACATTTGACATGCTGCAAATGGAGCAGATTGCAGACCTTCAGCGGTTGTATGATGAAGGCATTGAAGATGCTCGGCTCCAAAATAAATGTGCTATTGAGTTGCGCCTTCCTGCCATGCAATGTTCAAGGTCACGATGCCTGATGGCACGACGCGTCGATTTTTCTTTGTGCTGTGTGGGGTAAAAGGGGACTGGCCATACCTCCGTGGCTTGGCCTGCTGATTCCTTGTTGCACCTGCGCACATGTGACTCTACTTTAGTTCTTCTCTGTGGCTGGGTGCTGATTGCGAGGAAAGTGCCACAAGTTGAGCGCAGGTTTTGCCTCCTTAAGAGTTTGCCATTACTGCTCCGCGGTTGACGCCTAGCCTGATCTGAACAAAGGTTCACCATGCATGCTATGAATTTGGTTGCCTGCAGGGAAGCCTGCTATGCTTTGCATTTGTTTGAGGACTGGTTCAATATGAAGCCAACTGCTTTGTGGAGGCAGCAGCGACCTCATACTCGAGCTGTGAAAGGTTTTGTCAGCCTGCATGCGCTTCCTGGAGGGCACGAGTGTGTTGGTTGTCCAGACCAAATGCATACATGGCACCATGGATATGGACGTGAATTTGCAGCCAGTGCTATAGCTCCTTTCATGAATATGTCAGGGACCTGTGTGTTTGTTCCAATTCATGTTTTTGACCTGCATGTCATTGGCAACTTTCAGGTTCTCTTAGCCTGTAGATGGCGTGTGTTTGGTGGCAAAACCATTGATGATCGCCTCGAGAATGCCTTTGACAGCTTTACTTCTTGGAGGATCGCTACGAAAACCACGACCTCACTGACCAAGTTTGAACTCAAGACCTTCAAAATGGATTCGTTGCTTGGCCAATGAAAAGATTGCCGTGCGCAAGCCAATTTCTGTGTATGCTGTCTCTGTTGGCAGGCTGGACACCTGGCCAGGAGCATGTGGGAAAGCTCATGACACCACCGCACTGACAAAATGGATGCTGGATCTTGTGTCAAAGGCTGACTTTCATTATGACCATGTGCCCTGCCTGGTGTTACCTGTTTCATTTGATGTTCTTGTGGAATTCATGCATCCCAAACCACTAGCATGCTGGATAAGGTGGCTCCTGCTGATGTCCTGGGCCTTCTCCTCTACACTCTCCAGAACATCAACCTTTATTTCACCAGTCTTGGGAAGGAGATGTGGCTGGAACGGCCAGCGGCAATCACTTGCATAGATGCCTGTCAGAAAATGACAGAATCTCGGTGATACGATTTAGATAACTTATGGGTAAGCATGGAAGCACCACACACTATTATCGTGCGTAGTTTTGTCTCAGGAGGGATGTGCTGCTTTGTATGTTTGGGCCAACGGGGCAGGCTTCAAGCTTTTCAAAACAAAACCCAAGCTGCACATGCAACAGGAGATTTCGATCCTTGTTTGCATTTGTGAGGGCGCATATCATATCCCCAGACATTACCACATGAAAGGCTGCCAGCCTAGGGAATGGATGGGAGATCAAGTACGACGAGGTGCACATTTCATCTTGTCCCCAAACTGTGTCCTGGCTACATTGGTACAGCTAAGCAAGCACACTGTTTTATCTGTTTTGCAGCCATGCATGCATGCATGCTTGAACTGTCGCAGCCAAGAGGAACGCGCTCGTTTGGTTCTGTTTTGCGCAACCAGTGTTTGTCAGGCTACGCCACGTGGCAGGATGAAGACTACATAGGAAGGGTGTCCTGACCGCATGAAATATGACAGTGTGCATGTCGATGTTACATGGCGAACATGATCATGCGTGATTTGATTGTTCTTGCATGGTGGTGTGGTACTTGCATGCATTATTGTAGGTCGGTTAACAAACACCCCCCGTGTGTTGCATGCATAAATCTCATGAGTGGATGCTTGCATGCATGGTCGAAGGCTCACTGTTTGCGTGCATAGCTTCATGTGAGGTGCATGAGGTGATGACGCTTGTGCATGCATGGTTTTGCCTGTGCATGCATTCATGCATGATTGCAACCCAATCCTGCAGGTTTGCCGAACATCTCGACGTTGTCATGCTTGGAGTTTGGCCATTAGAACGGCACAAAGATGTCTTGGACACTACCGAAGAGTGTGGTGCAAGAAACACTGGATCAAGCGTGCAGGGTGAAAAAAGTTCAGGATGACACTTGGGTGATCATGGGAGTGGCTGGTTGGTCAATACGTACATCCATCTCGAGCACATATTTTGGGAAGAACCTAACTCGAGCACAAACATGTGACTCGAGCACAATTATAGTGGTACACATTTTTGTGTACCAACGGGGCCTACAGGTGGTTAGAACATGTAAACATCTTGGGACTCTGCTTGCTGTTCCAGACGGTGGATCTCCTGGTCCTAGCCTTTCGAGTATGTGCCGGTCTTGTGTGCCGGGCGGAGGCAGATGTCACACTTTCACAACAACCAAAGGAGTTATATACACTCCTGCCTACAATAATCATGGAAGTGGATGGCATGGCCCCTTGGATGACCATTTTCCTCTACAAATAGGTGGTTTTCCACTTCCATGATCATTTCAGGGAGTGTATCCAGAACCTGAGAAGTCGTTCAAGGCGGAGCGACTAGACCTTTCATCCTGAGTGGTTCCCGCACACCAGAGCTCGGGCCGGATCTATAGCTCCTTGGTGCACGGTGAGACTGCGGGTGGCGGTGAACCAAGCCAGGTCCGTTCCTAGCATCGAAGCGAGGGAGTTCGGGAGGTGGATCGCCTACCAAAATCTCTTGGTTTCGAGTCTTGTTTCTACCTTTTTGGAGGATGGAGTAGTGGCTGCTGATCCAAAACACTTATTTTAGAGTGCCTAGTTAATCCTGTACAGGATGCACGATCATACGTGGACTATGGTTATGTTGAGTGGTTTGGGAGGCTTTGTAGAGGTACTACACTTGTACGTTTGAGCGTTGCTTCTGTGAGGCAAGTATCAATACACCTTCCAGCACGACGGGGAAGGCTTTCTGTGTTTGGGGAAGTTCAATCCAAACAATGAGGAGCAGGGCGAGCAGGGCGAGCAGGGCGAGCAGGGCTGGCTGTTTGACGATTGGGTGTTGGAAAGGGGTGTTTGCCCAGCGCAAGTATGCATCGCTTGGGTGATTGTTCATAAGTGCGATACGAAATCGATTCAAATCGCACTCTTGTTGGTCGTTCGCAGCTGTCCTTGCTGTCTGCATGGTGCAGGATTTTGTATGGAAGGGCTACATACCATCTCTACACAGACAGTCCGTGTGCGTGCTTGGAGATGTTTTGGCTCTTGGGTTTCTATAGACAAAGAGAGTGACAGCGAACACATGCGACAACTGTCGTAGTCCAGCCAGGCTTAAGGGCTTCCAGCTAACTGGCCTATCATGGCAGGTCAAGTTTTTTTTGTGATTTTTTTTCTCCTGTGCTGTGCTCCCTACTGTCGTAGGAGTGGGACCCTTTGGAGAACTCCGTGAAGAAGGGCACCCAAGGGCTATGGCCGATGGCCTGGCCAGAGGCGCGCCATGGAGGTCGTGCAGATCGGTTGAGCGAACGACGCCAAGCGAGTGGCGTCGGGACATGGCGAGTTTGGTGGTATGTGTGACCACGGGTCAGGTTCATGGACCAGGTTGGTGTGTTTCCTGGTGGCCAATTGGCCCTTTGAAAGGTGGAGGACTTTTGCAGGTGACAGAGCACTGTATTACAGCGCCTTTTTTTCCGTCGCCACTTTGGCGGACTTAGATCATCAGATGAATTCTATACAGAGATTCTATATTCTATACTCTTTTCTAGTCTAAGTACTTGGATCCTTAAATTGTTCTTTGCGGTTGGAGATTTTGAGACCAAGACAGTGCCACACAGCAAGACTGGGCAGGGGCCGTTGTAGGTGTTGTTTGTGTAGGTGATTGGATGTTATTGGTAAGTCCGAGGGTGCTTCATAGGGCTTGGAGACCCTTGGAGACTGGTGACCAATCCCAATGATGGAGACCCTTGAAGACCCTTGAGATTTGTCACCAGAGAGGCAATGTCATGGTTTTCAGTGGCTTGCCTTCCAAGTTGGAACGATGTGTACCGGCGCACGGCAACCACCCGCATTGGCGACCGGCGCACGGCGCGGTACGCCGCCCCCAGCGGTACGCGCACGACTGCACGACTTGGACCTGATGTCCGACGCCTTCGCTGGATGAAGCTCGACAGACATCGTCGCAGTCGTCCAGGGCCGTCGACTGTGCCGAAAAGACCTGTCGCCGGTCCACGACGGTGCAGGAGCTCTTGGCGTCTCGCTCAAGCTGCCTGGACTCAGAGCCCTCAGAGAGTCCAGTCATTGACTCATGTAGAGTCGTATGATGTGGTATCTTAGTGGTGGATGATGACTGCCAGGGTGGGATAGTTCATGAGATCAAAATGATTCAAAATGGAAGTTCAGAGAGACAAAGCCGTCTCTGGAAGCTCTCGTCCGAAGCTTTGCCCGTGGCCTTTTGGCCAAGAGCGACCAAGCCTCGCCCATAGCAAGCGTCGCCTATGCGTCGCCTATAGCGATCCTCAGCTTTTCAGGTGTTATTTTCCCCATAGGGGCACTCCTTGTGCAGTGGGTCCTTCATGGGGGTCATTGGAAGAGAGGGGTGTCGAAGCGTGGCTGGCAGAGGAACAGCAGGAGATACAGCATGTCATACCAGAGGAGTTGCCTTGGTCGAGTTGGTGCTGCGATGTGGTGCAATTTGGTGAAATGAGTTCCCCCATCCTTCCCCGTCCTTTTCCCAAGCTTTCATCCGCAGGCTCCCACAGCTGGGCTCCCAGAGCCATGATGCCCCCCAGTGCCCCAAGTACAGACTCCCTGCAAAACCTCCCCCTCCATCCAGCCCGATTGACCTCATTCTGTCCAAATGATTGCTGGGCGCACTGTGGGTCTTCCTTCGATAACCGACGTGTAATGGTTGTTTCCACGCCCTACGGTACCTCCATCACCAGATCGTTGAATCGCAAGGAGCATCCGTGGTTCACTAGTGATCCCGGCCGATCAGCAGTAGAATTGGAACATCCCATGGGAGAATATCCGGTGTATGCCCGGCGCTTGACAAAGATACATAGAATCAATATATGCATTCACCACTTAAACATCCAAATATGATTGTATCCCCTTTCTCGCATCGCAGCAGCTTGGAGGTCGGCGGCGGTGGGGACTTGTCCTACAAGTGCGGGCAGAACGAGATGTTCGAGCGCATGTGTGCATGGGATGACCAGAACTATGTCATGGCCGCCGGAACCAAAGCAGGTGCGGAGCTCTTTTCGTGGCCAGTAGCTTCGGGTGAGGTCGGCTCAGGTCAGTCTTAAGCCCCCCAATTTGGGGATCTATAGGGGACCAAGTCTGTATTACAGACCGCGCTTCTACGTCGACCCCTTCCTGGAATTCCAATGTTTTCCTTACTTTCAAAATGACTCGGTGAGACTTGGGATGAAGTACACCAAGCTGTTGAGTTGTGCTGAAGGACCAGGTGTTTCAGTTGGCTGATTTGTTGGTTCCAATGTTCAGGTGGGAAAGCACCAAGTGATGATTTGACGGCAAACAATTGGCCCAGTGAGAAAGGCAAACTCGTGGCTTTGTCAAGAACTATTGGATCAGACCTAAGTGTCTGGCGCTGACCAAATCCAGTGGACTGAGATAACCAGAGAACTGATTCCACTGTCCACGGCATCACCATAAGAAGCAAAAGGCATTCCCAGTCTGATCCATATTGAACCTTAGGCTAATTGCAAGATTAAGCATATCCGCCAAGGGATATGATGTATGAGCATCCGACAAAACTTCCATACATGACCGTACATTATATGTTTGTATAAGTGTACTTTAGTCTCTAAATTGATCGAGACCTTGCAAAACGGAAAGGGGCCAACCCTATACCATGATACCCTTTCTTGATTGGCAGTAGCATTTTGCCTGCATTCCAAAACACTGGAAACCCATAGGGGCCAACCCCAAATACGTTTGGCATTGGGGACACAAAGAAGCTTTGTCCGCCACTCATACATGTTAACATATTAACTATATTTACCCTCTCATCAGAGAGTCCCAGGCAAAGTTTAACCTTTTCCTAGGGGTATCCTTTGCACATACTTAGACTTACTGGGTATATTTTGGAACTATATATATATATATAAACAGCATCATGTTTGATGCGTCCCCACGGCCACCGGTCTTGATCCATGCCAGGCTCAGACTCGAACACGACAGATGGTATTGTGGATGGCCACGCCTACACCGTGCACTGGGCGGAAACCCAGTGATTTTTCCATCAACGGTCAGAGGTGCATACACTCCATGTATGCAATACATGCTTACATTGGCCTGGAGTATGTTTTTTCTCTCAGTCCATCATCAAATCTCTAGAGAATATCAGGATCGAAAACATATGATGTGAACAGGGCAGCCGGTGCATATTTGTTGCATGTTGCCCAGATCTTTTTCTGGGTTTGCCGTATGTCGCGCTCGGAACTCAAAGGGAAGCACCCCGTTTCGGGTCAAGTGCATAATTCCTTAAAACGTAGAGGTGGCAAAATGGCTCCGGTTCAACAACAGTTTTTCGGCCTGATCTATCCACAAAAATCATAGACTAAACCCTGGACAGGCAGATTTTCGGCAGCGTGTGATCGCCCAGACGTCTTTCGCCGCGGCTTGATCGCGTGTGATCGCCCAAGGTGATCACTTGCCTGAACGATGTGGCAGGCACCGAGCACGATTTGGTGAAAGTGCGAAATCCCTGGGGCAAAGGCCACTTGGACATGAACACGAGCGAGTGAGCCGTTGAGCAGGTCCTATTCCGCGAGGTTCTTTGGTTCCTCAACTGTTTCTAAGAGATTCTAAGAGTGTATAAAAGGAGCATACAGGATCGAAGGTTGAGCTGGGGAGACTGCAACATAGCCAATGCGTCCGTATACATGGAGCTATACAGACCCAGATGTCATAGCCTCCCATAGTCCATTTGAGCAACTGCCATAACCTCCGATGAAGGCAGCGTCACTACAGTGAAGACTAAGTAAGTAAAATGAGGGACACCTTCAGGAACGATAAGGTTCACAAGAAAAACAATATGGTTTTAGTACTGGCTGTTAGGCGTGTCCAAACCCTCAGGAACGATAAGGTTCACGCAAAAACGATAACGTTGAGAAGAGTGCGCACTACAACACACAAGAGGTATTGCACGTCGCTCCTTTGTTGCTTGATAACGCAGTGCACCGTGCCCAGCTAGGAATTCGTTTGTGATTCGATTGTTTTTTTTGTGCGTGTAATTGTATTATGCAATATATGTAATTGATTGTTTGCCATTTCTCGTTTGGAAGATTGTTTGCTTCGAGTCATGAGTGGATTGAACATTGGGCAACAGATTGCCTTTCAATGGATGTTTGCGCTGAAGCGAGACGGCATTTCTTTGACATGTAAGATACTATAGGATCAAAGTATAGTGGTTGCAGATTTGTTCGATTTGAAGTTGTTGCTGTTTGAGTTGAACTGAACATCGCACCACTTGGCGTTTCCCTGTTCACTTCCACCATCCCTCCACGCTCGGGCCGTGTGGACCGAGGTGAGTTCACTTCAGGCCGATGGTGCGACGATGGCCCCGGCTGGACGGAATTCCCCGAGGCCGGTTTGGACACGAGGAGGTCACATGGGGTGCGTTTTCTCCGATGAGGAACTTGTGAAAGCAACTGAACTACTAGCAGCTTTTGCGAGGGAGCTGAGGAGCAGGTGAGATCCATCATATTCCCCATTGAACTATATAACAGGGAGACATTCGGAGCAGTTAAGCAACTCCAATTTGCCAGAAACTCAATGGGACTGGAATATTTGCCGCCCCATTGACCCCGTTTCAACCACCCCAATGTATGCGAATGTATGCCAGCACCACGAAAAGGATGTTTTATAGACACCCCTGACTATGTGTTTTCCTTCCAATAACCACCCTTTGGGTGGCCTGGTGGCTGTCCTAGACAGGTTGTGTCTGGGTTTCTCAGGTCGCGGCGGTGTGCAAGCCCACCAAAGCCAATGATGGAGTCTTCTGGTTGAGCAAGGCGCGAAGGGGAACTATGAAAACACCTGTTCGGAGCCGTTCGAGTGGGAACTTTCAACCAGTGCAGAAGATTGCAGGTCCATTCATTTGACCACAAGAATGCAGACAAATGCAAACAAATAAGTGCTGACTGTTGATGACTTAAAGCCTCCATATGAAGAGATTGTAGAATCCAAAGAGGGTGGGTGGAGTTATGAATCAACAGCTTACAGTTTCTATGGAAGCAAACCACTTTGGGACGAAATGGGATCCCCATTTGTACCTGTAAGTTGGTCTCTTGGGACATCCTACGAATGAGCTCGATGTCATCCTACGAATGAGCGAGTCAATGTATGTATCCTTACTGCAAAACCTCTTAAAAAGGACAGACGGCAATATAGATTCGGTTCACAGTTTAAGAGTTTCTCCATAGAAGAAGAACACGCAATTTGAACATAGACTCGTTCGTGGTAAACATTAACATGCCACAGCCACAGTAGTTCTTCAGAAATTAAGCTCGGATCCAATGCTTAGAAACATATCAGATACTGTATATTCAGATTCTATTTGACCTTCACAGCTCCGGGAAGCTCTCAACAGCGGCCGCAGTGTCTGCGCAAACTCTTTCGCCCCTAAAACCGTCATAAGACCGCGGCCAGCTCGGAAAATCACGGTCGGATGGCGGCCCGAAAACGTGCCGTTTTGGGTGGTGTCCTTTTCTAGGCGGAGTTCTTCAAGTACTTCAAAACCATCTATCTTTGTGCTCAAGACATGAATGCCTTTATTCAGTGAGGCGGTGGAACCGCTCTCATGTCGACGACCATTCTTGATGTGCTACGAAGCTGGCACACGTAGTATCTACGTCGACGCGTATTTTGCAGTTCAGTGGGTCGCATCGAGTTCATGGACGAAAGCCATGCCATATGTAATGCCATGTAGGCACGGTTTCAACATCCTTGGGCCGAAGTGGCACGCGTGGGGACGGGACGACCGTAGCGATAGACATTTGAAGGGCAAAGTCCTGAAGCGACACGCCTTTTTTCTGCGTTTGGCTACAGGTAGTGCATGGCCTGCAGGAAACATGTGTATGGCCTGTAGAGAGACATCCCAGTTCGACCCTCTGAAATAAGGGACATAGGGCAGTCTATAGATATTGGGCCAGGGGTTATTATGATATACAAGCATATATAATTAAACATTATCATATCAAATACGCTACATGTCCTGTATGGCCAAACATATGGCCATATCATTGTAAGATGATTAATTAAACATATATAATCCAGCCCTCTTCACGTCTAACAAAGACCCAAGGGGCTGAGGCATTGATCAATCTCGACCTGTGAAAACACTTGGTGGAGCTGTCAGGTGTACCCAAGGCCCAGTCCGACGGTCATCTTGGTGACACCATCAATCCTAGACACTCCGGACTCCAGACTGGAATATAGATGTGCACGGTTTCCAATACATGTTTAGTGGGATGTGCTTTTCTATCTATTTGGTGATATATATTTTATACCTACCAGGTGGTTGAACAAGGGGTGACAAACATGTCATAGATGGAGTGTTTGGGGATGATTGTATTGGTAGCAAAGTTGGTTCTCTAACTCTCTAACTGTTGTAAGGTATCATTGTGCTTGCGCATGGGCGCATTGTGCATCACTGCTCACTGAACCCTCCCGTGGCAAGATCGCAGAAGACGGACTCTTGCAGTTTCTCCCCCGGGCTGGGGTGAAGAAAAAGCAGCGAAGCAGCGAAGCGTCGTGACGCGGACCAGTCAGGAGTGACGAGTCGACGATGTCTGGTGCTTGGGAGGGCGCGAGGGGTCCGAGCCGGGACGATCCATCTTCCCTTTGAAACAGGTCCGATTTCGGAGCTTCCTGTTGGGAGTCCTCCAACCAATTGCTAGTTATAGTTGAGAGGTCAGTAGGTTCTCCTGATTTCTGGATCCTAACACTTCGCCAACTTCAGGTGAGGCACCTCTCTTCAGGTGACGCACAGTTCTCAAACAGCGGCTCTTTGGTCACCACCACCCGGCCCAGCAATGGCATGAGAAAAGCACCGGCCTCCTTTCGAACTGGGTGTGCGAGACCACGCGGGGTTTATTCCCTATGGATCCACATACCCTGAGGAGCTCAGGTGATGTGTTCGACACTGTGATTTGCCGGTTCCAGGGTCGGGTCCAGTCGTAGGGCAGGGTGGGTCATTGGTGAAGGGGTCAGGGGTAGAGGGCAGATTCTGTCGGCGTGTGGCGAGTGACCAAGGGGAACAGACCAGTCTGCCGTCTCTGTAGTCAACACCCGGTGTGGCTGTTGCCAATGCCGTCGAACGAGTCTGCAATTTTTGGAGTTGAACCCTTTGTGCACAAGGTGCTGGCACGTTTTTGTTGGGGATTTGGAGCATCCAAATCTTTGGCAGACTTGATCATGTTGATGCCAGAACTTGTTTCTTTGGAAGGGCAAGATCCCAACAATGCCGGATCATGGATGTGTGTGTTTTTCTTCTCGTTGACGAGCCGGCCGGTTCATGTCCAGGTGGACAGCCACACCGCTGACTCCTCCCGTAGGTCCGCTCCGAAGGGATGCGATGAAGCGATGAAGCGCGGTTTCGACATGTTTCGATCTTTGGCCGGGAATTCGCCTGATCTTTTTGGGGATCTGATCTGATATCAGAGCGGCAGGAAGAATGAACTGAGCAAGACGGGTGCTTTTTCGCAAGTGCGATGAACTGACATGAGAGCTAAAACAGATGTGTCAATCTATCATGTTTTTTTGGCAATGGGTAGGCAGGTAATGTTGATGATTTGGACCATTCCTCTCGATCAAGCAGAAAGAAACCACGACACTCAATGATCCGGTTACTTTGGTGACGTGTTGTGTCCACCACATGTGTGAGGGATTTGCTGTTCTTTTTCCCCGGGGTGGATGGTGACCGGCAGAAAAAGCCGCAGCTGCACAGCAGCTCCAAACAAGCGCACGAAGTCACGGAGATCTGGGATACAGGATGACCCAGACGCTCCAGGTGTGCCATATATGCCGATCAGTTGGGATAGTTTTGGGGGCAATGTAGGCATATATATATATATATATTGTGAAATCCACACGTGACACAACCAGGTCAGTTGTC